AGATCTCCCAATCTCGTTTTTCAGAAGTGCTGTCCGACGTTTTAAATGCCATGTCGCCCTGACGCCCTAACGGAGAATCCCGACCTCATCCTTGCACCTGTGGAGCAACATGCCAATGCTGCGGGGATGCGTTTTTTTTTTTTTTTTACTGCAGTGAAGTAGAAATTCAGCCACATACCACCTTAGGGAATAAAGGTTGCCAAAGTGTGTATATATATATATATATATATATATATATATATATATATATATATATATATATATATATATCTATATATATATATATAGATATATATATATATATATATTTTTTTTTTTTTTTTTTTTTTTTTTGGAGGGGGTGGGGGTGTCACTGTAAGATTAAAATTTCTTAATGCACTAGTTTGCACAAACAACAAACTACTTTGCCGCAAACCACAAAATGCGCAAAACCGTCATTTAAATAGGGCGTCTCCAACAGTTTTGCACCTGCCACCAGTTACGCAATCGCTCTTGTTAAATCACCCGCAAACCATGGTTCAGCCCCTCGCGCAAAATTCCAGTTTGCGAGCGCAAATTACTGCACGCAAAATTGGATCTTGATAAATCCGGCCCTAAGTGTATTCATATAAGAACCCTGTGCAGTACTAATTAAATTTGATAAATATGTTGAAAGAGGCTCCAAATAGATACCGCAGTAGTTTAATTTCATTTTTTTTTTTACAACAAATACAGTGTTTGATACATTAAAACACTCTAAAAAAAAGACTTACACATTAGAAAATAACTTCTTAATAACTTGTTAATTGGTTTGTGCCAAGGTTGTCTACAGGACAATGTAGGAGCAATTTGGGATTAAGGTATGAAATGGCTACAAAGTATTTTAATACCAGTTTCCATAAAGTGATTCATTCACATAGTTGGTGAAAAGAAAAACATGACATTTACTTTGTAGGGAAGGCAGTGAAAATCATCTGTTCTTCAAATACCTGAAAATAAATTTACAATACTGACAATACAAAACCAAAATACATACAAACATCTTTCATTAAATTAAATACTATTATAATCTGTCCTGAAACATAAAATCTTAGCAAAAAAATCTGAAAAAAAGGTCAATTTCCATTTATGATTTACTGTAATTTCTGATCTTGATGTGCCTGTTTGGAAGAGTCATCATTATTTAGCGGAGGAGTGCTAAACATTACCCCGCATTGATTAATTAACTCAGTTAATAAATTTTCTACCAATGTATTGTTACTTCCTGTAAATAAAGGACCACTTTGAAAACACATCCAATCTCAATGGGGGAAAAAAAGATCATGCTGTTTATTTACACTGATATGGACTGGGTGATGTGTTAGGAACAAAAGGATGCCACATCATTTGATGGAAATGAAAATTATCAACCTACAGAGGGCTGAATTCTAAGACATCCCAAAAATTACAGTGAACAAATGATGCGGCAGGCTAGTCCATTTTGCTGAAATTTCATTGCAGCAACTCAAAATGGTATGGTATTTAGTCTTTTCTATGGCCCAAACGTGAGTGTATGCATGCCTGACAACGTCGGGGCACGCTCCTAAAGAGACAACGGATGGTGTCCTGGGGTATCTCTTCCAAGATCTGGACCAGGGCATCACTGAGCTCCTTGACAGTCTGAGGTGCAACCTGGCGGCGTCGGATGGATCAACACATAATGTCCCAGAGGGGTTCTATTGGATTTAAGTCAGGCGAGCGTGGGGGCAAATCAATGGTATCAATTCCTTCATCCTCCAGGAACTGCCTGCATACTCCCGCCACATGAGGCCGGGCACCAGAATGAACCTAGGACCCACTGCACCAGCATGGGGTCTGACAATGGCAAGGATTTATCCCGTTACCTAATTGCAGTCATGGTGCCGTTGTCTAGACTGTGTAGGTCTGTGCGTCCCTCCAGACCATCACTGAGCTCCAGGGTGCTGGGCAGTGAGCACAGGGCCCACTAGAGGACCCTCAGGCCACCCTCGTGAAGTCTGTTTCTGATTGTTTGGTCAGAGACATTCATAGCAGTGGCCTGCTGGAGGTCATTTTGTAGGGCTCTGGCAGTGCTCCTCCTGCTTCTCCTTGCACAAAGAAGCAGATAGTGGTCCTGCTGATGGGTTGTAGACGTTCTACGGCCCTTTCCAGCTCTCCTGGAGTAACTGTCTGTCTCCTGGAATCTCCCCCATGCTCTTGAGATTGTGCTGGGAGACACAGCAAACCTTCTGGCAATGGCACGTATTGATGTGCCATCCTGGAGGAGTAGGACTTCCTGTGCAACCTCTGTAGGGTCCAGGTAGCGCCTCATGCTCACAGTAGTGACAGTGACGCTAGCCAAATGCAAAACTGGTGAAAAAGAGACAGAAAAAATTAGGAGGGGAAAAAACGTCAGTGGCCTCCACATGTAAAACCATTCCTGTTTTGATGGTCATCTCGTTGTTGCCCTTCTAGTGTTATTTTCATTAACACCAATGCAGCTGAAACTGATTAACAACCATCTCTGCTACTCACCTGACCAAATCAATATCCCAGAAGTTTAATTAACTTGATGCTATACTCTGATTACAAAGTGTTTCTTTAATTTTTTTTTTTTTTTTTTGAGTAGTGTATGTGTAAGTTTATATCTTGGCATCATATTATTTTCTCAGTATTATAGTTGTATCAAAGGCCTTTTAGGGCCGCAGTGAAACATGGGCACCTATCCTTTTCCTTTTTCACCCATTTTGCATGTTGGACTCTGACAGGTGTTCCATCTGTCACCGATCTTTTTATACATTTCATTTACAGGATGTCTAAGTGCAGACAAGAACCGGAGGGGGTCTGGTTGTGGGACCGACGCATTTTTACCTGCTTTTTGCAAATTACCTGATTTTGCTGGCTCCCATTTTGCAGCTGAGTGCGAAGTGGCTGGGATGAGAATCAGCTCTTCTAACTCTGAGTTAATGGTTTATGACCAGAAAAAAGTGGTTTGTCACCTACACATTAAAGTATAGTTCCTGCCTCAAGTGGAGAAGTTTTAAGTATCTTGGGGTCCTGTTAACGAATGAGGAAAGGAAATGGATGGGGATGGCTGCTTTTGGCTGTTTTGGTGAAAGTGAAGAGAGAGCTGGGAGAAAAGGCAAAGCTCTTGATTCACTGATTGGTCTACGTTTACATCCTCAACCATGGTCATGAAATTTGGACCATGACCAAAAGATGAGACACTGGACACAAGCAGCTAAAGTGAGCTTTCTCTGACCGTTTTTGGTGGAGTTCTGTCGACCAGGAGAAACTTGAAATAGAGCCACCTCTCTTATACAGCGAGAGGAGTTAACTGAGGCTTCTCAGAAATCATTTCTGGATGTCCCCTGACCTAGGAAGGTTTCCAGGCACAGGGGACAACCCAGGACATGCTGGAAAGACTACTTTTCTTGGCTGGCCTTGGAGCACCTCTGGCCTCCCCCAGCAGAGCTACAGGAGGTGTTTGGGGAGATTTGGAGTCTCTGTGGAGGCTGCTGCCTCTACAACTTGGTCCCACATTAGTGGCAGACAACGTGTATAAGTATGAGACAAAGGTGAGCAAAGGGAAACCGGAAGTTATGCCATGTATAGAACTTTTTTTAGATAGAAGAGTTTTCACCTGCTAACACTGCAAGTTGACGGAGGCTCTTTGGAGCCTCGGGTGCCGGAACCATATTAGGTCATAAATATAACTGCAATAGCAACTTTTTAACCACTTCGGGCAGCATGAAGATGGTTTTAGGATAAACACAGACCTGCAAAACAGTAACATTGAAACAGCACCCAGTTCATATGACCCAAAAGAAATTTAGATATACTTTTAAAAATCATTCAAATTTCATTAACATATGTTGCTGCTTGTGTAATACTATAATACCCCTTTCACATACATGTTATTATCTTTAAACTGTCCACATATCTTTTGTATACTACAGCTGTGTTTTATCATTTTCTACTACCCTAACTTCTGTCGCAGAGGCTGAAATAATTAACAATGCTAATTTGACCAAATGCACAAACTGATACGGTCATATTTTGAACGTGTGACTCTGAATGGGCGTAATAACCGAAACAGTCAGTATATTTGAAAAGTTTATTGAATAAATGGAGATGAACAAGATTGAATTTCAGCTGATCAGGGGTCTTGTGAGATCTGCTGGGAAAGATAGGGAGGATGGAGAAAAACTTAAGCTTTGGGATTTGAGAAAATGATGTTTGGATGGTGGACTCACGGAGGTGATGGCTTGGGCTTAGTCTGGGGAAAGAAGTGCTGTTCAGAAGTCCGAGTTGTTCGTGCAGATCCAGATCCTCTCGCTGTGTTGGTTTGTTGGAGGGTGGACAGGCAGGCAAGCGCAGGCAGGAGGGCTGACAGAAAGATCTGGGGTTCTTCTCTGGTACGAGAAGTTTTCCAGGAGTTCTTCTGACTCTGATCAAAGGCGTGGGTTTCCAGGTCTTTGACTGGATGGCTTTCTAGGACGAAACAACAAGGACGAGGTTAGGTCAAGCTTGCACGGATAATAGGGTTAAACAAGGAGTTGGTCTATACCATGCTGAAGCGTAAACGAACTGATGCCCTCCACCTGGTTCCAGCTCCTTATGAAGGCTGGTAATTAGCTCTGATGGAACGCACCTGCCAGTCCAGCCCTGCGGAGGATGGAGAGAATAAACAGACCTGCACCTAGAACACAGAGTATGACACCTACAAGAAACAATAATAACAACATTATTTCAATCTATTGAAAAATCTGAAATCAATAAACATTTTCAATGCTGTTAAGCAATATGACTTTGGTTTTGGACACAGAAAATATGAAATTTGGATATTAAAGTCCAGAAATTTGTTTCCTATAGTCCAAAGGTTAGTATTTGAAACATTAGAATTCAGTCGTGGTTTAGTTGGAAGTTGTTATTGCGAACAATCTTTCTGTTTTCTTTGAATACTTGTTTCAGCTGTTTTTTTTACTTCTGAATAGCCTTATTTTTTTTCCCTTTTTCACCAGATGATCTGCCCTACTGCTCTAAAAGCATGACTTCTAAATTTTTCCGCTTCGATGTCTCTCGAATGGAAAGGAACTCATCCAACCTCTTCAGGGCAGAGTTTCGAGCCCTGAGGGTACCAAACCCCAGTGCCAAGAGGAACGAACAGCGGCTTGAGCTCTACCAGGTGTGTAAAGGTAGCATTTCTTTGTCTTTCTAAACGTCACAATTTATTTTTATTTGAACTTTTTTATTTTTCATTTCATAAAAACTATTGCTTCCCATGAGCTCTGAGATATTTCTCTTCAGCTGGAATAACATCCCCAAGTTCTGCTCCATATTGGAAAGGCCAAAATTAACAACCTTCTGCTGTATTTTCAATTGATACACTAGAGAGTTGGAAAGGCTATAAATCTCCTTGTCCCATGACCAAGGCTGGACTAAATCCAAAAGACCTCAAATTTAACAGGGCTTTGCAGCATTTTGTACAATACTTGAACTTAAAACTGTATTGTCACATTACAAACCTCAATCTGTTTTATTCTCTCAGAATTTTGTTTTTTTGGATTTGGTGCAGCATATTATATAGCTATAAAATAGTGCATGGTTGTGCAGTGAATAGAACAGTGCTTTCAAACTTTACTGATAAAAATCTCAGCAACGTGTCATGCATTATACTCAGCCTAACAGCCGGGGGAATCGACAGTCGACCTGTATGACTTGTAATTCTCTTTAATTGCAGATCATATGGGTTCAGGCTGTTATCGGTTTCTATATCTAAAGATAGTATGCCAACAAATTATTCTATATTAAATAACTCAAGCTCAAAAAGATTGGATGGGCAACATCTGTAAGAATTAGTTATTAAGTTTATTTCAATTCTTCTCTTTAGGAAGTAGCAGGCAACTCTTGTTCATAGATATGCATTGCTTAATGCAATCAGCTACTGTACATTGAGTATTCTGAAGAAGAGCATTCTCACAGTAAAAGGCGGCTGCTACCATTTTTATCTTTAGTTATCTCTCAGCTCTGAGTGTAGCAAACGAATGTCTATAGAATATCTAAAGTAACCAATACTAGTTAGCATCAATCCACGTTAAGAAATATTGCTAATAATCGTAAATTTTATCACTGTTTTGCAGACCATGAGACTAAACGAGCACATAAGGAAGCAGCGCTTGATTGGAGCAAAAAATGTGCAAACCAAAGGCTCTCCTGAGTGGATCACCTTTGATGTGACTGAAACTGTGCGGGAATGGCTGATAAACAGAGGTGAGATTATCTTTATCTGAAAATGTTTTTAAAAAGCTGTCAATGGTTAGTTCTTATCAGAGAGTAATTGTAACGCTTTCCTTTGCTTGATTGTTATTAGGATCTAATCTGGGTTTGGAAATCAGTGTGCATTGTCCCTGCCAGGCCTACAGTTCAAACGGTGACATCGACAATGAAAATGAAGTTCTGGAGGTTAAATTTAGAGGTGGGTTTCCTCAGTCATTTAGTGATTTATTAAGTGCTTATTAATGCAACGTAAGAGAAGTGTGTGAAAAAATAGGAGACTTATACACTTTAAATTGTGTAATTGATGAGAACTATGAAAGAAGATGGTGGTTAATAGTTAAAAAAGCAGCTGGATTCGTTCCTGTGGTTTCAGGTGTTGATGGAGATGAGGAGCAGATTCGCCTGGATCTGGATAGCCTGAAGAAAAATAAGGAGCAATACCTTCCTCACCTTATCCTCATGATGATCCCACCCCACCGCCTGGATACTCACCCCTCACGCCGACACAAGAGAGCGCTGGACACAAACTACTGCTTCTCGTAAGCTTTTGTTAAGGAACATAAATCAAGTTTAAGCTTCACAAACCCACTGTGACTGTTTGGCTTCTGTTCTGTTACCCCACAGAAACACGGAGGAGAGCTGTTGCGTTCGCAGGCTCCACATAGATTTTCGCCGTGATCTGGACTGGAAGTGGATCCACGAGCCGAGTGGCTACGATGCCAACTACTGCTCTGGGCCCTGCCCTTACCTGAGGAGCTCGGACACAACACATAGCTCGGTGAGAATCCCTATGCAGGCCTTAAAGTCATTAACTTATGAAGAACCTTTTTTAGATTTAGTTCACAAAATTGAAACTGAAAAAATTAATCTGCGTAGGTTAGCACCAAAATATTTTAATCTAATTTCTTTTTTCGGTTTAGGGCCTGGCAATGAACTACATTTGCAATATAAACACAGTTTTACAAAATGCTATTCTCAAATCCAGTGTTGGGCACGTTACTTTGAAAAAGTAATTAGTTATAGTTACTAGTTACTTCTCCCAAAAAGTAACTGAGTTACTAACTGAGTTACTCCACAATAAAAGTAACTAGTTACTAGTAAAAGTAACTATTGCGTTACTTTTGCGTTTCTCGCCCCCGTAAACCTCACCACCCAGCCCCCACCTTCTCGCCGTGTGTTTCCAAAGCCAGCTGAATAGAGCGGACGACAAAGACAAGAACCTGCAGACAGTTTAGCATTTATTGCAACTCAACGTAAATGACATCAGGGGGGAACGCGATGTGAAGTTTTATAACAGGACATTCAGATCTGGTGAGTATATGAAATTAATAACTGGGGATGTCTAATTCTGAAATCCTGTGTGTTTGGGTTGTTATAGATACTGCAACATCTATCTATCTATCTATCTATCTATCTATCTATCTATCTATCTATCTATCTATCTATCTATCATCTATCTATCTATCTATCTATCTATCTATCTATCTATCTATCTATCTATCTATCTATCTATCTATCTATCTATCTATCTATCTATCTATCTATCCATCTATCTATCTAGATGTATACTCTGTGTGTGACATAAAATATGGATCTCCATCCCTGCCACAAAGGCCATCAAATAATGTTTAAAATAAAAAATACAGTAGGTTGAGAAGGCAGAGCATCCATCCATCCATCAATCCATCCATCCATCCATCCATCCATCCATTCATCCATCCATCCATCCATCCATCCATCCATCCATCCATTCATCCATCCATCCATCCATCCATCCATCCATCCATCCATCCATCCATCCATTCATCCATCCATCCATCCATCCATCCATCCATCCATCCATCCATCCATTCATCCATCCATCCATCCATCCATCCATCCATCCATCCATCCATCCATCCAGATTTCACCCTTTCTCCATATAGGCTATCATTTCTGGCTGTTGTCAGGTTCATTTGATCGTTCACGCTCTCCATAGTTCTCCTGTGGCGCGAGCACAGAGCGACTGTTGCGCGCCTTTAGCGAGCATGCGCGTTTCCTGTCGCTTGCGCGGTGACTCGTGCCGCCTGCGCTGTGTGGAGATGCAGAGGAAACCGTTATGTGATGGGGAAACGCAGCTCTACGTAACACCGGTATTTCCATGTGGAAAACGCTGTTTTGCTGCTGGAGTCATCCTCACTCTCCATCTCTCTGTGTGTGCTGTACGTTAACACCCGCCAGCAGAAACACCCACCTATTCAACTGACAGACGGAATCTCATCCTCCCCTCTCTCATGACAAGGCGCGCACCTCTGGATGACCTAAAAAAATAATCTTTAATATCTCTTAAACAAAAGTAGCACAAACAATATTTTTTTCTGCACAAATCTGCACTAACGTTGCACTAACCATTCAGTCTATTTGCAGAGTTTTTTGACGTGGGTGGGGTGTCAGCTTCACGCAGCTGCGCACGAGTCCTATCATGAAAAAAGGTTCATTGCGCGACCTAAGTAACGCGCAGTAACGGGGTGCCTGCAATGGTAACTGCGTTATAGTTACAGTCAAAGTAATTAGTTAGATTACTCGTTACTAAAACAAGGTAACGGCGTTAGTAACGCCGTTACTTTCAACGCCGTTAGTCCCATCCCTGCTCAAATCTCAAGCGCACATCATTTTGGTCACATTACAGTAGTAGCCGTTCAAAATTTCCCCGCTTTCTTTGATGGGCCCTTGGCTGGTCCTAGGATGGTCCCCTACAATTTTTTTTTAAACATCAATCTTTGCACTAAAATATTATTTCTGTCATTATTTGTGGACATCTTTCTTTCTTTCTTTCTTTCTTTCTTTCTTTCTTTCTTTCTTTCTTTCTTTCTTTCTGGAAATAAATAGAAATCTTTCTTTCTCCTTCTCACACCCTCCTGACATCGTTCATTGTGGCCACCTTTGTTTCTGCCTTGTATCTTTCCTTCTTCCTTCCTTCAGTCTGTTTCTTCCAAGTTCTATATATAAACCTCTATCTACCACTGTCTAAATATCTGCTATAAAAACATACAGGTGCTGGTCATAAAATTAGAATATCATGAAAAAGTAGATTGATTTCAGTAATTCCATTTAAAAAGTGAAACTTGTATATTATATTCATACATTACATACAAACTCATATATTTCAGATGTTTATTTTGTTTAATTTTGATGATTACAAATGACAACAAATGAAAATCTCAAATTCATCATATCAGAAAATTAGAATATTGTGAAAAGGTTCAAAATTGATGGCCCCTGGTGCCACACTCTAATCAGCTAATTAACTCAAACCACCTGCAAAAGCCTTTAAATGGTCTTTCAGTCTAGTTCTATAGGCTACACAATCATGGGGAAGACTGCTGACTTGACAGTTGTCCAAAAGACGACCATCGACACCTTGCACAAGGAGGGCAAGACACAAAAGGTCATCGCTAAAGAGGCTGGCTGTTCACAGAGCTCAGTGTCCAAGCACATTAATAGAGAGGCGAAGGGAAGGAAAAGATGTGGTCGAAAAAAGTGTACAAGCAAGAGAGATAACCGCACCCTGGAGAGGATTGTGAAACAAAACCCCTTCAAAAATGTGGGGGAGATTCACAAAGAGTGGACTGCAGCTGGAGTGAGTGCTTCAAGAACCACCACACACAGACGTATGAAAGACATGGGTTTCTGCTGTCGCATTCCTTGTGTCAAGCCACTCTTGAACCACAGACAGCGTCAGAAGCGTCTTGCCTGGGCTAAAGAGAAACAGGACTGGACTGCTGGTGAGTGGTCCAAAGTCATGTTCTCTGATGAAAGTAAATTTTGCATTTCCTTTGGAAATCAAGGTCCCAGAGTCTGGAGGAAAAGAAGAGAGGCACTTCATCCACGTTGCTTGAAGTCCAGTGTAAAGTTTCCACAGTCAGTGATGGTTTGGGGTGCCATGTCATCTGCTGGTGTTGGTCCATTGTGTTTTCTGAGGTCCAGGGTCAACGCAGCCACATACCAGGAAGTTTTAGAGCACTTCATGCTTCCTGCAGCTGACCAACTTTTTGGAGATGCAGATTTCATTTTCCAACAGGACTTGGCACCTGCACACAGTGCCAAAGCTACCAGTACCTGGTTGAAGGACCATGGTATCCCTGTTCTTAATTGGCCAGCAAACTCTCCTGACCTTAACCCCATAGAAAATCTATGGGGTATTGTGAAGAAGAAGATGCAATACACCAGACCCAACAATTCAGAAGAGCTAAAAGCCACTATTAGAGCAACCTGGGCTATCATAACACCTGAGCAGTGCCACAGACTGATCGACTCCATGCCACGCCGCATTGCTGCAGTAATACAGGCCAAAGGAGGCCCAACTAAATACTGAGTGCTGTACATGCTCATACTTTTCATGTTCATACTTTTCAGTTGGCCAACATTTCTATAAATCCTTTGTTTTTATTGGTCTTCAGTAATATTCTAATTTTCTGATATGATGAATTTGAGATTTTCATTTGTTGTCATTTGTAATCATCAAAATTAAACAAAATAAACATCTGAAATATATGAGTTTGTATGTAATGTATGAATATAATATACAAGTTTCACTTTTTAAATGGAATTACTGAAATCAATCTACTTTTTCATGATATTCTAATTTTATGACCAGCACCTGTATAGAACTTTGGCATTTCACATACTAAAATGGAAGTAAAGCGCAATGCTTCTGCCTTGTGACAGGCTGGCTTATTATGCATGAAAAATAAATGCATGTTATCACTTGGCTTGAATTGGCTTGTTGGAAAATATGTTTTGCTCTTACCCTTTTCTTTCAATCTCACCTTAATAATTGCAGTCTTCTTGGGCAGAGCTGATAGTGAATCTACTCGTCTCTGTGAGAAATCAACCCCATGCATTAGTTATAGGAATTTCAGGAAACATTCTGGAAATACAGAGCAGTCTTCTACTTGTCTACTTAATGTTGTGCTTTCTGCAGAAATTTAAGTCTTCTTGTCAGAAAGTTTCACTTATTTGCAGATATTGGACACAGTTCCACCTGCTGCTAAGGTTTAGCTCACTCCTCATAAATAGACAGTCCTTGAACCTACTTGATCCTATTGGTCTAGAAAAAACCTCCTCAATACACTGCTTTTTCTACCTTATAGTTGTTTTCTCTTGCCCTAACAGTCATTTCTTTACTTCTGAGGCCATTGTGGTGCAAACTTCCTAATAAAAAAGGCAAATGAATATAAGCATATTTACCTATTTTTGTAGCAGTTATTCTAATAGTTAGCTCAACAGAGATACATAACAAAATAATGAGGGTTTCTCTTATAGATAATTTTGACTATTAAAGTAGAAAAAAATATATTTTCTATTGTTTACCTGTATAACATAGATATTAGTAAGAAAATATTTAGGCTATGATGGTATTTACGTGAATTGCTTTCACACAGAATGGAGTGTTTCTCTTGAAGAAGTCTCTTCCAGATTACTTAATTTACAAGTATAAAATATTTTAACAGAAGACTTTCAAAATGTTGTTAAAAAGGAGTTTTACTGCCTCTCAACAGCTGCTGAGCCTTTACAACACTCTGAATCCAGAGGCCTCCGCCGCCCCCTGCTGCGTCCCTCAGGACCTGGCGCCCCTCACTATACTCTACTACTCTGGACGGACCCCTAAGGTGGAGCAGCTCTCCAACATGATTGTCAAGTCTTGCAAATGTAGCTGAGATGACATGACAGACTTTGACACTAGGTAGAGGATAAAACCTTCTAGACTATGAGCTGTGATGAATACTTAAATGACCCTGTGGCCTGCGTCTTTGCTCTGTTTTAAACTGAACCGTTTTTTGTCGTTGTTGTTGTTCCTTGTTATTTTGCTGTTACAAAGCCACTTTTAAGAGGCAAGCTAATTTTAAACCATCCAAACTTAACTCCAGCTGAATGAAATTCATTTTATGGTTTATCTTTTGACCTCCAAACTCAATTGTCAGTAGTGCAGCTTTCTCATTTCTGTCCTAAATATTAAATCTGCTCCCCTCAATGGATGAATTTCGTTCTGGCTAGTGATTTTGTTTAAACTTTCCTTAAGTTCCCTTCCCTGTAGACAGTGGGCATTATCTTCAAACACAAAAGGAGAAAGGACAGACTCGTTGCTGTATCCAAAACCATAGCTGTGGTCTGGGGAAAGGAGAGCTGAGTGAGAATGCCTGTTGGATTTGCAATGGAAAGGCAATGAAGAAAGAAATGGAGCCAAGCTTTTCTCTTTTGGCCAGCCAACAGCGGTGGCCCTTTTATTTTCTGTGCATCTATTAGAGCGGATGGACAGAGAAGAAGAAAAGGGAACCTGAATTGAAGGAAAGGATTGTGTTGGAATCTAGCCACGAGTGTGCTGCCATTCACTGGATGTTTTCATTCCTCACAGGTTCAAATTATTATTTTTTTCTCCTTGAACATCAAAGAATTTACTGGAATAGAGCAAGTGTTATGCAACAAGTTTTTATGAGATTTCTTTTACATTAATAGCAGATTTAGTCTGTTATGTAACTTGTCATATAGTGATTGTTTCACTAACAGCAGGGAATTGACCCTTACCGTCATTATCCTCAATGAAAGCCATTTTATGCTGTTCTAAACCTAGGGTACTGTTACAATGTAATTTAAAAATAATGTGCAACCTTTGTATTTGTGTTATACTAGCTTAACCTGTTGTTTTAGACTCAGTATGTTTCTGTCTGATGCTGTTTATTAGAGGTATACAGAAAGTGAAATCCCTGCACTTTTGTTGCAGCAATACAAGGAAATGTAAGTATGTAGCTGAGAAAGTGCAAGGTGTAGAAATAAAAACCAAAGCCACATAAATATGTTGACATTTTTTAATATGGGAGGGAATGATTGTACGATTGGTGGGGATACAGTTGACTTCATTCCAAAGTTGATTTAGAAAGAAGGATGCATGCTGCCTGCTAGAACTAAAGTTATTTGAAATTTTCTAGAAGGAACTTAAGATTTTTACATCTTCTTACAATAAAATCTTCTAGATAAATTAGAAAAAGAGCTGTTTGTCTCTGTATCTCCAAATACCTAGTAGAACAGTAAGAACGTTACCTTTCAGAAAACAGAAAACTTAACTAAGGCATTATATTGATTAAAGAAATAGTTGATCTAAATCTATATACAGATTGGTGTTTAACTTAATAATGAAGAAGAAAAACTTTGGTAGTTTATTAAAACCCTTTATTGTAGCTCTAACGAGTTTTCTTTTTATATAAGGTCTATTATATTATTCATACCATTGTGTGTAGTCACGCAGTCAGAGCTCTGCAGTAAAGCAGTGTTTCTTTTAAAAGAAATACAAAAAGATTGAACAGATTTCATTTCTATCTGTTTTATTGTCTTATAAAAGCCATTTGCAGAGTTAGCATTGATAACTGTTAACATTGTTGGCAAGTATTTCATCCAGGGCTAGTAGACCTTTAACCTTCCCTCTGTAATTACTAAACCGAGCAGCTCTTTCCCATAAGAAATAAAAAGGAATCTGAAAAGGATTGGATTCAGAAAGACTGCTGTAAAATATGTTTAGTTTTTTAATTTCCTGCTCGAGTGTCACTTTCTTTAGAAATGGCCTGAATAAGCCAGACATATTTCCATAGAAATAATAATAAATTTTAAGGTGCTTGCTGCAGCTTTTGTGTTCTATTTAAGTACAAATGTAAATTACATTTATTTATAAAGCACAAATAAAAAGAAAAAAAAAAAACAGCAGGTTTGTCTAAAATGCAGTAAGTTAGTGACTGATGAGCAGAGGTGTCAAGAGTTAACAAAGTAATACTTCATGTTACTTAGGTAAAACTTTTGGCTATCTATACTTTACTGGAGTAATTATTTTTTAGACAACTTTTTACATCTAGTCCTTATATATATATATTTTTTTTTGCAATCTCTTATTTTCTACTCCTTACCTTTTAAAAATAGACTTGTTTGTTTTGTTTATTGAAGTTCCTTTCTGTTATGGCCTGTTGGTATTTAAAAAAAATAAAACCATCCAAATCATTTGTTTTATCCAGACTATTTCTTTGTCTGGAATTTGTTATTTGTGACATCCCAAAATAAATAGTTCTTAGGAGGATGCAAAATTAAATTTGATGCTGTTACCATTAGTTATAAATCTAACAAAATGAAATATAAGGAAGTTATCATCCAGCAATATTAGAAATATTATTTTTCTTGCATTACATTTACCTGTATACTTAAGTTGTCAAAAAAAGGGTACTTTTACACTTTTACTTGAGTAAAAGCATACGTTGATACTTCTACAAAAGTGTTTTGGAACAGCAGGATTTATACTTCTTGAGTAATAAACATGAATAATGGTGGGATCTCTGCTGATGAGACAAGAAATGCCTCCTGCCATCTGTGCTTTATTTAATGTGTGTACTTTTACAAAATTGTTTTCTGATTACTTTATAGGTGGTTTCTGAGCTATTGTCTTACTGCCGGCTTAAAAAAAAAAAAACACAAAAACATCCACAAGAAAAATGTATTGTTATTTCCACCTTAGATTTTTTGAAAGGTTAAAGCATATAATTTTCAATTTTGCCTTCATAGAGAGGTTACATTTGTGTTTTAGATTTCTAAGATCCTATGATAATGACTTTCTCCAACCTTTCGGTTTTGAACTGGATCTCTGTTCCTAAACAGAAGAGGCACATTTCACGTCCATGTCTAACATTCAATCGGCTAAGAAAACAAATTTCTATTTTTATTTCTGCAGCTGGCTCTTGTTGAGTTCCCTAATGTGTAATTTAAAACCTCGCTGCTTAAGCTTTTCTTTTTTTTTTCTTCTTTTCTACTGATTTTTCAAAACACTCACCTGTCACAGTTCACACCAGTCACAGTACAATGAGGGCTGTTAGCAAAACACTGCAGTCTCTGTTTGTTTCAGTACAGCATGAGGCCTGAATGGAAGAAAACAGCAAGCGAAGTGAAAAAATCCTAATCTGATGGTGGCTACATGTAAATTTAGACCTTCTGAATACCTATACTGTTTGACATTTTCCATGTCAGAGTCTATCCTTTAAGATAATGTGTTTGGCAGTGATGCTGTTCGATGAAGTCTGTTATTAAATATACAACATGTTAAACCATGAAAGCCCTTTTTCTGCTGTGGATTAAAATGTTCACTAAGCGCTTTGCCTTTTCTATTGCAGAGCTGTGAAAACACTTAACTTCAGTTGAGAAAAAGAGTAATTCATCCGTTGGTTCAGTCTGCCGCATTGAAATGCCATTTAAGATGCCATTTTCTCATAAGTAAGAAAAACATGAATTTTTCTTGAATCTCACCAACCTCACCTGTTTCCTGCAAGCACATGCTTGTATTTTTTTCTGCTTCATGCTGGAGTAATAAATTCAAGAGCTCTTTTTCAGAGATTTATGCCTAACAGCTTTCCCAGGCGACACACTATTACTCTTATTTCCAGGGCATATTAACACGCAGACATGTCATTATTTTCTTATTTTTCACCCTAATAGTCTGTATAAATCACACAGAAACCTGTATCCAACAATTAATATTACATTTTAATACATTTGTTTTGCTGTTTTGAGGCTCCTTTCTTCAAAGCTATTGAATACTGATATGTAAAGTACCAAACTAATTTATTTGGATTTAATTAGATCATTTTTGGGGGGAAATTTAAAAAATACTTGATTTTTCTTTTTTTCTTTTTTTTTTTAATGACCGCCTTTCATTTATGGATTCTAAACAATAACGCAACCATGTTAGATTTCCAGGTTTACCTGATGGCAAGTATAAGTTAAAAGTACCCATACAAAAAATTATGCAAGTAAAGTGTAAAAACAGCATTTAGGTAAATACTCTATTCAAGTACTGGAAACCATTACTCAGCTGATAACATCAGGATGTTTAGAAATTATTCAGACATTATGTGCAAGTTTTGATATATTAAAGATTGAAATACATGAAAATTCAGATAAAAAACATAGATACAAATGACAAATTCCACAACTTCAATTGATATCGTTTTGACTGTATTTTCATCTGATCTCCAAATAGCTCAAGTTACTCACAGTGGGCAGAGTAGCCAGTAATTCTACTCAAATAGGAGTAGCAATACTTCATTACAATAATTCTAAAGTATGATTCATTAAAACTCGAACGAAGATTTACTGTTAAAAATTTTTCTTAACTATACATTGCTTAGTGAATCTGACTTATTATGATTCCCTTTAATTTTACTCAGGTCCTAGTTCTATCTAAAAATGAAAAAACAGCACACAAAAAATGGCGCCACCACCTTGCTTTACTGTGAAGGTGAGGTTCTTTTATTGTGTTGTGTTTCTTTTTTTTTTGTTTTTTTTTATGTCCATAAAATTTTGCTGCGTCAGACCTTAAAGCATTTCAGCCGCTACTTTTCTGAAAATGTAAAATCTGATGTTAGAAAATGTAACCAAATTTGGTAAAATTCTTTGCTTTTGGATGAAGATGCTTCCCTATACCACTACCCAGAAACATGATGCTGCTGTAAAAGCTGTTGTTATACTGTACTATACAGCCACCATAATGTTATCAAAGGCATCTTTAGAGACTTCTTGTCCAGTTTTCATGTTGCCATTTCATCAATCTTGGGAGGACTCCCAAGTTTTCCTTAACTATGCTGTTATAGCCTTTTTTTTCTAACCACTCTCTTCATGTAAACCATTGTATATCAAATGCCTTGGGAAGTTTTAATTGCATTTGGAAATTCAAATTCCTCTTGTGACAGATATCTGTAAACAAAAATAAGTACAGTCATGCAATTATCTCTTTAGTTGTTTTTTGTTGTTGTTGTTGTTTTCTTTTTTATTTTCCCTTTGAATATTTCTGGTTGTTCTTCAGTGGAGTTGTGAAGCTCTTTGTTCTCCAACATTTCATAAATTATTATCCAGGCCCTTAAATAGAAAAAGATATTCAAGTGAAAGATTATTGTTAATTGTAGTATAGGTATTTTAATTCTTTGTGCTCTGAGTTTTTTTCCTGAAATATTGGTTTTGCATTTGCTGCTGTCCTCACTGAGGATCTGCAATCACTAAGTGACTTGAGGGCAATGGGTTGAGCTAATATGGACTGACAAATAGCCAGAGAGAATTCACTCTCTCTGCATGCCCATTATTGTTCCCTGTCAGAATCAATCAGGGATGAAAGATGATGGGAACACAAAGACCAGAGGGCAACCTCACGTCTAAACAGGAATTGGGGCTTTAATGGCTTTGCAGACACTCCTGTACTTTAAAGCACACACGTTTGGGATAGAGGCCCCCAATGCATGATTGACTTTTAAATTTCCACCACAGGCAGCCGATTGCTACTCACTTAAAATACTGTGCAAAAGTTTGGATCATTTAAATCATTTAAGGCAGATATGTCAAAGTCAAACACACTGAGGGCCAAAAAAACAAATTTGCTACAAGCCGAGGATTAAATGGTTAAATGTTTATTAAAACATATTGAAATTAACATAGCCTACTATACCAAGACCTAACACATTGTTAAAAAAAAAAACAAAATATTAATATCAATATTATCAATAAACTTTTATCATATTAATAAACATATTAATATAAATACATAAATGAAAGTGCATGCATTATAAACTGAAAATGCATTACTGTGCTGCTCTATGATCCTACAAATCACTGCTTTCAAATAGTAAAATAATTAAAAAAAAAAATAAAAAAAAATCAGTTGTATTCTCTCTTATGGTTCTTATCTGCATTTTTTCCATGAGTCCATTCAGCTGAAAAATATGAATGCATAAAATACAAAATCTAAGGCACACATACAAAACATTGCTTCCTTCAAA